ACACACACACACACACACACACACACACACACACGAGAAGGCGGCAGACAGAAACTTGAGTCAGAGAAAAGTGATCAAGAAATGTCTACATTTGAATACTGACAATACTCAAGAGGCAGAGATACGTGATGAATCCCAGATTTCAGAAAGATGTGACAGTGTAAATATGGGAAACTTCTGTTGATATATTCAAAACCTCTCAGAAATGATTGGAGTTTGGAAGGATATAGGAACTGTTAATGTACTGCTGATATATGAGAAGAGTGCAAGGAAAGATTTGTGAAAAGGCAGACAGGCAAGCATGACTTTAGTTGGTACAGACGTTATGGGAAAAGCTAAATAACAGAAACCAAAAGGAGAACACCTGGAAAGTTACGATTTAATTAAGGACAGTCAGCATGGATTCGCACAAAATGAAACATGCCCCAAATATCAGATTTATGGAGGAAGTAACAGAAAAAACAGACAAAGGTTAAGTCATGGACATAAGGAAAACTTTTGATACAGTACAGCAGAAAATTGACATGTCAATACAGAATGGCATTGAAGGGAACTGCAAAATGATCAGAAAGAAGCAATGTGCAGTTTGATTAGGGCAAAAAGAATAAGACTGTAAAGGTTAACAGATAAGACATTTGATGGACAAAATGAACATAGTGAATGTCACCTGGATATAGAACTAAATGCATTTCATCTTATAAATAGTAGCAAGCTTCTTGTATTTCAGACAATAGCATAAGAGAAGTAGAACTGCCTTGGCAAAATTTGGCACAGATTTTTGTGGCTGTGCTGCTGTTATTTGATCTAACATCCGAATGTTACTAAAGAGACCAAAGCAAATGAGTTTTGGAATCCATATGGCTTTTAAAACTTTTGCTTCCTACTCATCTCAGATACATTCGTCTAACCATGGCAGGAGTACCCTCATTTTGGAAGGACCATGTTCCTCCCTTAGAACTGGCCTAACCAATTCAGTTTAAATAGGAGAAGGTTCTCCATTTAAAGAAGGTGTGGTCTTCAAGGGGCTGCTATTTCTTATTAGGACTGCTGATCCTCTGGAATGCCTCCCATTAGGGCTCACCTCAATTCTGACCTTGGTGATCTTCTGAAAGCAGCTGGAAGATGGAAATCTTCCAGGGAGCATCTAAGGACTGTCACTTGGATTTAAATTTTTGATATTTTTTAAAAAATTGGTAGGTTTTTATTGTTTGGTACAGTGAATATTTTAATGGTTTGCATTTTCTGTAAAGCCACCAAGAATCCTGTAGGGATTGCAGTGAGGTATAAATCTAATAAATGAATAAATAAGATTTGGATTGGGTTTTTTTTTTGTTGTTTTTAGGCTGTTAGGGTTTTTTTCATTTTTATTGTACTCTTAGCTGTTTTAATGGTTGGTTGATTCTAAAAAGCCTCCAAGATTCCTGTGGGATTGCAGCAGACAATGATGTAGTCAGCCATGCAGTTAACGTTTTATTATATTCATTCATTCATTCATTCATTCATTCATTCATTCATTCATTCAATATTTTCTACAGCTGCCCATCTCAGCAAGTGACTCAGGGCAGTGTATATTATAAAAAACAATAATCTGTCCCACATTTACTTTAGAACACCCATTCCCTTTTTTTCCATGCTGCAAAACAAGTCTAGCTATATCTACAATGCTTTAGTAATGTTTTTTTCAAAAGGGTTCTGGGCATATATGAGATATACCATTGCTTCTGTGGGATCAATGTTTGGGATTTTTTTCTCAGTTTGCAGATATTCATGGCCACTCTTTCATCCCTTTGGAACTCCTGAGGTCTCCTTCCCCAATGGGCCCTGAACAGTAGCTCTCCACAGGCCATTCAAGCCTAGTGCAGTCCTTGAGTTGACTGGGACTACACTAATCTAGTAAGAATCTGCTTCCTACGCTTGGGCCACTTCCATCCTAGGACTGAAAGCCAGGACTGAAAATAGGGAGAAAGAAGTCATTTTCCATTCATGACAGTAGAAATCGGACTTTAAATGGTGGAAATACTTCTTCCCATTGGTTTCATGTGATAGGATGAAATTACATTATGCAAATGTGCTGCCATGAGGATCACCAACTTGGGGAACTTGAAAAGACATCAGATAAACTTAAAACGTGTGAGGCTGTGAAGCATTCCATATGCCTCCACGATCAAAGGCATTGCCCCTTTGATCAATACCTCTAGGAAAGTACTGTTTTGTATATGTTCTGCTCACAAAAGGTTGACTTGAGGATAATGAATGATGTAAGAGGATTCTTATAGCATATATTGAGAAAAGAAAGTAAATGAGAAAAAAGAGATTTTATTTATCTACATTTTTAGTGATTTACTGATTTTACTAGCAGAGTAAGGACTTAAAAACAAGTGAGGCTCGCACAATAGACCTGAACACTCATGAATTATATTGATACACAAATGCTCTGAGCCTGTTACACTCTCTTCCCTCTATTGCAGGGGTAGGCAACCTTGGCTCTTTTATGACTCGTGGACTTCAATTCCCAGAATTCCTGAGCCAGCATGGCTGGCTCAGGAATTCCGGGAGTTGAAGTCCACGAGTCATAAAAGAGCCAAGGTTGCCTACCCCTGCTCTATTGCATTAGAGATCCTTTTTTCTCTTAATGTTCCAGCTCATGTTGATAAGAGTTGTGTAGGAATGAAATGAAGGGAGGCCCTTCCCTCTTCAGCTGCCTTGAACTACCAGAGGAAGATGGGCTGGTAAATGCAACAAGTAAAGTAATAACAACACACTCACACTTATATAGGTGCACAAACACAAATTAAAAACACAACTGAAGCGTCGTGGAAACACCCATTGCGTTAATTCAATTATAACTGAAATATACTTGTTGGGAAAGGGCTAACACAAAATGAGATAAAGAGAAAATTTACCCATTTTTTTTCAAAGAGACTTATCATTTTCCTTTCTTCTCTTCCTGCTGCTCAGTCAAGCTGGTAGTGAGTGCAACTGACTTTTCTGTCAAGCAGTTACTGAACAATCACTTACCACATCATCTCTGTCTTCCCATTCAACCTCAGAGAGGTCAACACTGCTGTAATTGGGCTTTCTTCGCTTTTTCCCTTCTTCATACTAGGGTCATTAAAAAGAAAGAAAGAGATGAGATGCTGGGTGAAAAAAAAAAACCTGGCACTTTTATTTTTCTAGTAAATCGATATAAGCATCGTCAACTGTCTCTCCCTATTATGTTCAATTTTGCATAAATGCATAAAACACTGTTCTTTTGGAGTATATCAAGATGCTTTTTTTCAACAATCTTCTAGAGTCTGGAGCTCTCTTCCATGCTGGACTACAAAGCCATCTCATCCAGCCAGCATTAGCGTGGTAGTTAGAGATACCACATTTCAAAGGTACCCTGTTATGTTGCTATGTATTATGTTTTATTGGCAAATACATCCTTGCAACAGTACAAACATAGAATAAAAAGATAGTGATTACTATTTATTTTCTTACAAAACTCTTGTGCCATACACTTTAGAAATAAAAGTCACCGCTACATTCTGCTGCAAACCACTTCATACTACAGCACATGGAAAATACACACAACCCTTAGTCATATTTGCAAAATTTAAAAAAAGACATCTTGAACCTTCTTTTCCAGACCCGCAGGAAGTTATATTTCCTGCAGTGTTATCAACAACTGTTTATATATTTCTATTTAAACAAGATAAGAGACTACTCCTGGGAAGTTTGGTGTTAGTATCTGCGTGATATTACATTTTATCTGTTCTTTCATGGAGAAAAATGCAAGAAACACAGTAATAAGGAAATGTAACAATAAACACTGGTGTTGTTATACTGTAAATCTCACTTTTTAAAAAATAAACATCACAGTTACAAATGAGTTGACATTGGTGTTTTCATAATGTAGAAAAATCCTGCCCCCTGCTGCATTCAACAGCAAAGAGATCTTGCTAAAAATAACTAACTATTCAATGTGTAGGCTAAGTCTGATGTCTAAAGTGGAATTTGCTAGCTTTCCAAGAAAATAAACCAAAGGCTATATTTTAAAGATTGTTATGAAATATTGAAATTAACACTGTTCAAAAGCCATTTTGAATCCATTACTTGCAATTAGGCTTGAAAATGGAATTTTTAATCTAAAAGTTCCCATGCACAAAAGATTGACACTTATTATGTTTCTGAAGGACCTAAATTCTTCAATGATGCTACTGCCATCACTCAAGAGCAGTTGGGTTTCGCCATCCCCTATCCCTTGTTTAACAAGAAGGCATGGTGAGTTTGCATTCAACTGGTGCCAGGGCACAGTGTCATCATGGATGTTTAAGAATTAATTATATGCCTACTGCCATAATTGAGTCATTCAGCTACCTGAACAAGGAAGTGATGGCTCAGAAGGGTTAGCGAGGTGGGGCTGGAGGCTGAGGAAGAGGGAATTTAGGAGCAGGGCATTGAGTGTATCCATCATGGCTCCTGACCAGGATAGGAGACAGGGATAGCTAAATGGAATGTTGCGGGAAGAGAGAAGGGATAGAGAGGCAATGAAGGAGTGCTGTGGGCACAACATAATCAGCAGTGGTTTAGAGTCAGAGTAAGGGGCTGATTTCATTATAGCTATCTTTCACACAGACATTCTGAGGGTCAAGAAGGCTAACTAGCAGTTTTCTGTCAGACTTAAAAGTTTTTCTGAGCCTAGTCGTTGGATCCCCTTGGGATTACCATATTACACCTCTGTTCCACAAACTTCACTGGATTCCAGTCTCCTTCTGAGCACAGTTCAAGGTATTGTGATATTTAAAGCCCTTAATGGCATGAGTCCATGCTAACTGATGAAGCGCTTCATCCCGCTAGGACATGCCTATCCTATTTGTTCTGGTAGAGATGACCCACTTCGGATCAGTCAAAGAACTCTGACTATCGTGATCCAGAAGAAGAGCCTTCTCTGCCGCAGCACCCTTTGGAACAACTTACCCTTTAAGGTAAAATCCATCCCCACCTTCCTATCCTTCTGCAAGAGCTCAAAGACCTGGCTCTGTTGGTTGGCCTGGGGACCAACCAATGGGGGAATTTGGTGCTGGAGGTGACTGTTGGATTGATGGCAGATTCCACATCCCCTCCTTGCTCTCTGCCCTCCACCCATCATTTTTTTGTTACCATATTGATGTATTCTCATATTTTATTTTATTTTTCTATTATTTTACTTCTGTTTACACTGTTCCTTTTTATTGCTTCCTAGAATAGGCCCATAGCAAGATAAGTGGGTTATAAATTTAATAAATAAATAAATGCATTTTGCTTTATACTTCTGAAGAGTGCCAAATTACATATGCATGGATAAATATACAGTATATCTGATACCCAATCCCCATTATGTACAATATTCTGGATCCAATAAATATATTTATATCCATTAGCTTTTGAAATGGAGGACAATCTTCACAGAAAGCTAAAAAGGATTTTGAGGGATTTATTCTAATGGAAATGAGTAATATAGCATGAACATATTATTAGTTTTTATTACCTCACTGCCCCACTATCTAATTCTATTTTTCTTTATCCTTTTCACACATTAGTCTATGGATGTTCCACTTTTGCTGGATGAAATCAAAACAGATCTATTCCTTTTGTTTGATGTCTGTTGTATTCTGATAAAAAAAAATGAACATGGCAAAAGGCAAAGAAAATATCCCCCACCCCAAAATGTCTTTAATTTTTAGCCTTACACTTCCTGAGCATAACATTGTGATTTGTTCTGGATTTGCAATTTGTTTGCCTGCAATATGGATTGGTAAGGATCAAAGTGATGCTACTGGAAGATGTGAGATTCAGAAGTTGCAGAAACATAAGACATGCATTCTTACCCTGTCAAGAATGGCATAACATCGTTCCCAATAATGAAAAGCCTAGCTAGTATTGAGTCATTTTTTTCCCTTTTTTAATTCAATCTCTTCAGGAAGGCTAGTGGCAATGGAAAGATGGAGAAAACTGAAATGGTTAAGGTGTGGTCATTCTCAGTGGGGAACCTAGAGAGAGGAATTTGCCAACTTCACAGTAATTGCTAGGATGTGTATACATCTGTCCTCATTCCTTCACTTTGGTCTTTTTTTTTAGCTTTCAAAAAAGCTCTGGTGTGCTTACTTTCAGCATCATTAGGGATCTCCTTGTAGCTTGCTCAGGCAATGATATAATATTGGTCATGTGACTTTGAAATATTGCATGGTTAGCTAACCATTTCCAGAAAATGCTGCAAGTTTGTGCATACTTTTACCAAAATTAAAGAAAGAAGATGAGTGGACAAGTCAAATAGATATTCTTCCCTTGGTCATTTTCCTACCTTGTTCCTTTCCCCATGTAAAAGAGAGAAAAAATAAAATCTGCATCCTTTTGTGAGCATAATAATGTATCAAAACATAGTTATTCCACCCAACAACTGTCTTTGATATAGTCCAAATCAACTAAAGTAGGGTAGATACTTTGATTTTTTTCCTTTATTAGTTCTAGTCCTGACATACAGAAGCTGAAAACCTTTCAAAATAAGGACTATACACCGTCAGCTTCTCACCTACAAAAATGGCCCAAGTTGCTCCACTTACTAGAGGGAAGCTGCCATGATCTGAATCCAATGAGCAGCTAAGTACTGGCAGTCAATGCCATCTAGCATGAGGTGGTTCTACTGATGTTCCCTCAACCTCTAGAGCCAAAAGAAATATCTTTTCCCAACTCCTTCCTTTCATCAAGGTTAGAGGAACATTATTTACAATTCTTGTTAGAATAAAACCTGCCAACCTCTGCTCTCATTATTTACATCTATGCGCATAGCTTACAATATCGCACCATAAATTCTGGAAATAGCATGACACAGTTTTGTGGGGGAGTCTGTCTGATCATTTTTATCACAGTCAACTTTGAAATGCATCCTTTGCATTCCTCAGTGACAACCATGACAATCCTTACTGAATCACCTGAAATCTGTTCGTTGTATTAGGGTGTCAGACTAAACCCAGGTTCATAGCTCCATTCAATCAGAGACTTGTTTTATAGTAGCCTATTTAGCCAAACTGCAGGTAAAAGAGATAAAAGAGAGAATTGTATACTATGCCAAATTTATGGAGGAAAAATGAAATATAATGCAATATATAATAAAATAATACTTCAAATAATTTTAATTGTTTGCTAATTATACTTTTCTTCTTATTTATTTTAATTATTTCTGCTTTAAATTTACATCTGGTTTATTATCTCAGTGATTTGTTCATGCAGTGTACATTGTAAAACACTTGTCATGCAACATACATTGTAAATCAAATATATTAAAATAATGCAGACAATATGCAAAATACTAGAGAAGTCAGTAAAAAGAATTTCTTGTAGGAGAGGCATATTTTTGATTGAAGATTCAAAAAATGCCAGAATGTAGCAGTAAGGCAGTGGAAATAATCCTTAAATATGTAAAACCAGAATGGTAGTATTCTTGGCCATTTTTTTAATAGATAAAACATTTACCTAGTTGTGGTCACTTACAAAGCAAGCCAGATGTAGCATGAGAATTTTTCTAAAATAACTTTATTCACTATTGGAATGGGAATGAGAGATCAACTTTTGGACCTAAAAATACAGTTCTCTGCTACGTTTATTTGAGCTGAGGTCCCCATTAATTTGGCATGCCCATAATTTTCACCTTGGGATCTATCTGGCACCAGTGCAGATTCTTAGTTTAATTGCCTGACTTTTAAGGGATTGATTGATTGATTGTGTTATCAATGGCACAATTCTAATTGATTTTCTAAAATCCTGGGGTTTTATAAAATGGAGTCAAAGGACTACATGAAGTCCTTTTCTCAGAGATATTGACTTTGTGATGGAGATGAAGCATGTTATCTCCTAGAAAGCGATCTGTAAAGTCCAAAATTAAGACTGAGTTGAATAAAAGGATAAGATTTTTTCCCAAATAAAGACATCCAGAAGAAGGATATAATTTAAGATTTTAATCCCAAACTTCTTAGATTATAGTTGGCAATAGAGACCAGTTATTTTTGATAGAATTTCTTGCCAGCTGGCAATGACAAACTGTCATGCAGTAAAATTTCCAACCTTTATTACAATGAAAAACC